CCCCCGCCTTCCTCCTGTATCGTCTGAAGGTTATGGCGTTCGATCATAATTTTGTCGAAAGTAATTATTCTGACGTGAATCATTGATGCTATCGGCTTCTGTTTCACGTCCTGGTGGAGAGTTCCTTACACGCACGACACATTGCGAGTGGCTGTCCCGACTAGTTCTAAATCTCGGGACGGAAGATCAGGAAGTGCGAGGAGGAGAAGAACATACTGCTTCGCTAAAACACAGAAGGAGCGCTCTTTTGGCCCATTCCCATACTAGAGTGCAAACAGTTCAACGCCTTTATAACGACGACCGGTATAAATGCAGCGCATTTGTACCGGTCGGAGTGAACGGCAGTAAAACACGCCCGCCGCCCTGGAACGCCGGTGCTAAGCTCGTCCGGGCATGCCAATAAAATGCACAGAGGCTTATCTTCGCGTTCCTGCTGGACGTGTGCAATGGCTAACGCAGTTGGACTGATGCTCCGCGTGCAAAAGAGCGCCCGAGCGCGAACGAGTGTTGCATATCACTCAGCCTTATCGACAAATCTGAAGGCCCCTCGCGAGTAGACAACCCGCCCGCAAGTCTGAAGTGCGGTGTGTTATGGGATCATCCGGAAAGTACATCCGCCGTTACGAACCAGCGAAGTTCAGCCAATCCAAGCTCTCATGGCGCCTGATAGGTAGGCAACATGTAGCCTGCAGTGCACCTGTGTACTGCGGGGTGGCCTACTCTCAGTCTCGCAGGCGTCCAGCTCCTATTCATTTGCCGAATTAATTCGAGAGAAACGGACGTACTTTCTGGATGATCCCTATGGAGACAGAGAGAAGGCGCGAGGCGAGGCTCGCTTGAGTAGCTGCACACGGCGCTGCAATCCGTTTTGTGATATCTCAAACGGTTTCGCGTCAGCAGGAGCGTTGAGAACAAGGCCCCCCGCTCCTCCATCCACGGACCCTCGGGACGCCGGGCGGAAAAGCGACCTGTGGGGAGCTTTAACACGTCATAGTACCAGGAAAGGAACCGCCGGGAATCGCTGCTTGCCAATTTCGTATGAGTCAAATAATACAGGAGATATATAACGACGTGTAGGAGACGCGGGCCCCACCATTTATCGTCTTTATTTTTGCTTTAAACGCTTAAGGCCAACATAAAAAATCTCGACGGACCCACATCCGTGAACTCATTACCACCGCACACAAAAATTACTAGTTGGGATCGCGATGGAATTACATGAAAACAAATTACGAAAACCGTTTTTAAGGTCTCTGGTCCCGCCAGGCTCGCCTCGTCATTGGCTGGCACCCGATGAGCGCGCTGATTCAAACAGGCTGGCGAGCACTGAAACAGTTTTTATTTTTTTTTGGCGTATGGACAGCGCCATCAAGCCTCTCGACGAAGTCCCTTTTCTGTGTGTGTTGTCATGCACATTTTAAGCCCAGAAGGGCGTCGGCAGAGGAGGGGAGGGCAGGGGAGGGCAGGGGAGGGGGGGAGCGGATCCATCTTACATCCGCAGAGGCTGCCGAAGGCGGCTATGCCGAAGGCTGGATCGCACAAAGCAGAAGAGAGTCGCGCGGAGCAGAGTCGCGCGAGAATGGAGAAAACCAGGCGACTTGGCGCGCCAAACCGCGCCGCACCACGTCCCAAATATTAGCCTCTCCTCTCCTCGGGACCGGTCTGAACGTTGTGGGAGCGCCGCGAGGAAGGAGGAGGAGGAGACGCAAGTTGTAGAAAAGAGCTCCGAAATGTATACACAAAGCGAGTCGCCCCCAAACGCATATATATAGCGAGTCGCTCCAACCACTCAACATGCCGTCGTGCGACTTGACCCGCACCAGACGGGCACGGGAAGTGTCAGCTTGAGGCCGAGCCGAACACACAGCCTCGGGGATCTCACATACCTCCAGCCGGATGTACACTGCAAAACAGTGCATACGTACTGGTGAAACGAGAACTTTGGAAAATATTTACATTAAGATTACTTGAATTTAAATACTCTGTAGACCTTTGTTTGAGACACGGTGTGTCCTACACCCATTCGTTAAGTTTGAGACACTGTACCCTATACACCCACACAAGTGTCTCACACCAAAAGGTGTGGCAGGCTAGACACATCGGTACTGCACATAAAAGTGCGAGACCGTTTTACACAAAAGAGTGCAACGCTGTGTGGGTTGGATCTCATTAAAATACCAGTCGAATTCGTGCCACGAAAACAAAGATCAGCGCGTCGTTATAACTATGTTCTTTTGGCTGTGACATCATTTTCTCACTGGGCTGTCATGTTCTCTGAAAATTACTGCAACAGCAACCGTTGCAATGCTCCTCTCCGGGACACTTGGGTCTGCAATTAGTACACGACTCAGCGGGAAGGGGAAAGACTGGCGCATGCGTGCATTAGAATGTTTCTGACTATTCTCTGAAATATCCATACTTTTGTATAGAACTTTCATCATTATATTGGATGCGTCACGTGGACACCGCAGACCAGCATGTGGCGGTGACGAGACCCTTTCTTAATTTGCCGAAGTAATGACACAAGAGATCCCAGGTCGTAAACTAATACGTTTCCAGCGTGTATCTTGCAGCCGCCGTAAAAATCGACGGGTGCTTTGCGGGACTGCGGGGGATGGTTGGGAGAGAAGACGGAGTAAACAAGCAGGCAACAGGCTAGCGTCATTTCCGCTGGCAGAACGTGCGTAATAACCTGCCAACACGCCATATTTGTTTTTGTGCAAAAGTTCGAGCTTTCTGAAACCTACGTTCTTGGAAAATTTGTGCACTGCAATTGTCTTACAAAGAACTCATCTTTGTAACGTGCAAAGGATTTGGCACCTTCAAAATACAAACAAATCCTTTGTATTACGAAGGACTCGGCTTCATAAGACGAAGAGCGCACGTCTGTTAACAAAGTGGTAATACGAAGAAAATCCGATTGTAATATGGTGGTTCCAGATCCTTTGTACGTTGCAAATCTAATTATTCGTAATATGAAGACTGCTCTTTGTAACTAAAAGTGCTTTGTCCGACCCCTTCGTAATACAAAGGATTTGTTTGTATTACGAAGGTGCCTAATCCTTTGTACGTTACAAATAGAAGGTCTTTGTAAGAAACTTGCACAGCCGCATTCAACACCCTCAGTTTTATGCCCCAAACATTGTCTTACTGTTTGTACATCGCGCACTTGCGCAGAAATCCTTACTTTTTACGCATGCCTTATGGTAAACTAATGAAATTGAAGTTTGACGCACACTCACCTTTAAGGATTTCTCTCAGCTTCTCGCAGGCCTCCTTGGTTGACTCCGGCGTCTCCCTCAGCTCCAGGCGCGCCCGCTCCTCGTACTCCTTGCCGAAGTCCTCGCTCTCGAAGCGCAGGACGTACTCGCCCATCTGGACGAACAGATTCTCCGCCTCATCGGGGGAGAATTCGGGAAACCAACGGTTACTGACGCCCATGATGGCAGAGAGTCACACACACTCACACACACAGACACACACGCGCGCGCGCGGACTCGCGACACTGCGCGACAAGGTAAACAGCTGATTCGCTTTCGGCCGGCAGGCGCAGGTGTCGTCCGCCTGCAGGCTGGACTGGCTCGGTACTGACGGGCGGAACTCGACGCACAGCCGGTGTGGAGCCGGGCCATGGAGTCAGGCCGGCCCCCCGCCCCGCCCCGCCCCGCCCCGCCCCGCCGCCGCAGCAGCCACCGCAGCAGCGCGCGGCCGCCCGCTCGTCAGGGCCTATGGCATAATCAGAGCAGATCTTGCGCCGCTACACCCTACTGCATTTCGCCCCAACAAGTCGCTCTGCACTACAACACGCGCTGCTGCAGTTTTCTTTCAGCAATATCATGACGCGCGACTGCTGCTCTGCGTCGTTAACTCTATCGACCCGCGGCGGAAGAAGTGGTACGCCGATCCATCCTAATAGGTTGCATATCGCGGGTTTCCTGCTCCACCATCAGATTGCTTCGCAGAATCTGTATCTTTCCTCCGATTGCACGTCCGGTTGAATCGCGCTCCAAGCCCTTCCCTCGGGTCGCACTACCGGTTGTACCTAAGGTTGTACCCAGGGTTGTACTCCGAGCCCGCCTCTCGGCCCCGCCACAGATAAGCAGTAGTGGACTTCACATTGCATCCGTGACTGATTAGCTGCCCGCCATCTGCTCGATGTGTCCGCCGCCGGCACTGACTCATATCGTTATTGCTTTGCCGACACCACGCCGTGAAAACCTCGCGAACGACAGTATGGCTGCTTTTGCAATTGCAAACGATTTCCTCTGTAATGCAAACTGCGAAGAAATTTCCCCACAGCCTTACAAAACAGACAAATCGTTTTATCTAGCGTCGTTTTATTTTGTGTGTAGGGTAAGGTGCCCAGTGATGGACACTTTAAGCGCACACTTTCACATTTCGCCCAACCAGTGCGGCTCAAAACGTCTGAGCAAAACCAAAAAAATAAATAAATCATGCAGGGGTGTACAGAAAAGTCCAAGAAACATGCTACAGGTTTCGAAAACGGAAAAATAAAATTTGTTCACAGAGCGAAAAAATACTAACGGAAGAGCACACCTTGCCCAGAGATAGACACCTCTTGCCCGCCCAGCCCAGTGATGGCCACCAAGGTGTCCAGTGATGGCCACTCTTGGATTTATCTGTTTTCGTCTGCTACGCCGGGGCAGGGATGCTTATGCACGCTTGGCCGCCGCAGCAGATGCTTTTGCAGCCTTTTCGGCGTCCTGGGGTGCCCTCTTCGCTAACCGCGCCTCCATTCGTTCCTCGTTTTCGGTCTATCTGCTTCGCAGTCGCAGTCGCCATTCGCCAGTTTGGCTTAATTTGGCTGCGTTGTCTGATGCAAGAGATGAGGATCAAGTCAACAGCCATCCAAACAGAGCGAGGTGACAGTCCGACCTGCCTTCCTGCCTAGACGACCACAAACTGCTTAACGACTTTCGCTGAACCGCACAACAATTAGGCCGCACGCAAAATAGCAGAAGCCTTCTCGCTATATTTCTCTCGCTCTCGGGCACGCCCGTGCTCTCGCGCTCACTCCCGCATCACTGGGCACCTTACCCTACTGTAGCGTAGTTGTACACTTGCCAGTGTTCAACCAAGTAGGTGCGCTTGCAAGTGTGCAACTCCGCACTTCCTAAACAGAGTGAGCGTTCAATCCAAGGAAGTGTTCAACAGAGAACTTGCGACACTTGCATGTCCACACCTACCTAGTTGAACACTAGCTAATGTACTATACTACGCAATTGCACACATGCAAGTATGCAACTTGCAGTTCCACACTTACAAGTGTGTTAAAAGCGGTTGCGCACTTAGTTTATCAGTGTATTGGGGGGCAAATTCAGAATGAATAGAATAGAAACTAGCCCGTAACAAATTTAATCAGTCATTTAGTATGCACAGGTAGTACGTGACGGCCCGGAAGAACGACCAACGACCTTTTTACAAGTGGATGTGAGTGTGCGTGAGTGAGTCACACGTAAAATACCCGAGTTTGATCCTCAGCTCATTATTAGCTGGGAAAGCCTTTTTGTCGACAACACTGTAGAAAAAATGAAGGTGCTACATCACACCTTTAACAAGTGCGCAAGGTTTAGTGCATTTATAAAAGGATTAAAACAGCTACAGGCACTAATGTTTAGCTTTCTTGAAGATTTTTTTCTGCCTTGGCAGAGGCAAACTGGTAAAACAAATGTAGAAAGTTGCACACCAATTGGTGTTTCTTTACAAAATGTGTGAACTTTGAACACTTCGCAAACATGCAACTGCACACCACCTGACCTGGTGTGGAACTTTTGATTCTTGGTATGCCTTTTCCTGTGCTATTTCTAAGACCAGTGTGAACCAAGTGTGCAGACCTTGCACACTTTCCAAAAGTTGAAACTTTGCACATCATGAAGTGTGACAATTACTGAAAAGCGAATTCAAAGTGCAAAATTGTTCACTTGTTTTACCAGTTCATTAAATCGCAAATGGGAAAAGAGTATTCTTTTTACCCGACCCGAGCAAAGGTGCGACTTAACACCTTTGTTCCAATGAAGTATCCACTATATGACAACTTTTTAAACTAGCCCTGCAAAACTTTCGCTGTGGTAGCCACATATTAGCCGTGAGAGTGTCGTCGTCTGAAACAGCTTGTAAACATTTCGCATCCCATCCCAGCTGATGCAGGGTAGCCTTTCCTAACGAAGAACGCAAATAGTGCGGTATTAGTTGCGATTCTCTACAGAATACAGCTTGAATATAGAAAGTGCACGGTGCAGGGGAAAAGGGGGGGGGGTCAGATAAGAGTTGCAAGGCTGTGGAGGTCAAGGGGTGTGAAAGCCTACATATACAGTACCAAGTTTTTGAGTTACTCGGTGTGACGTACGTTGGTGATTTTCCTATCGTTTTACAATTATGCTGCTTAATGTGTAGTGTACTGCAAAATGCCTTGCATTGCGCAATCTAATCCGCGAAAGCATTCTCTATTTTTAGAGCCAGCTAATGAGCTGCATAGCACAGGGCAGTATCATGTCTTTGTCTTTGAGCGAGGAAACACATGAGCTGCAACGTCTGGATACATTCATTCCGCAAAATTAATTTAAGAAGAAAACCCTTAAAACTGCAGAACCGATGATAGCCCGATGCTTAAATCCACGCTGTAAATATAGCATGGCTTTGCAAAGCATTGTCCGTTCCCTAAATGTGAAAAGACGCACAAGCTTTCGTATTTCCTAGAAAATTCACTTCTTAGAAACCGTTGCTACGTTCTATTTATTACACACGCCGCATTAGGTCGCAAAAAATGTCCACATATTTAGTCGGTGCAAACAGAAGTGTCGGGCACACGCCCTCACCTACCTCCGGGTCCCCATCGCGCCGAGTGTAAGCCCCTGCCACCGCCCTGCTGACCCGCGGACCAGCTGCTGGGGGCCCCGAGCCCTGCTGGGCGCCCTGCTGGGCCACCAAGCACTGCGACATGACGCGCGTATAGGGCAAGCAGACGACACACGACAAATGCTCGCCCCGGGCCTCACACTTTCGCTTTTATATTGACGGGGGGAAAGGAGTGGTGGCGATAAAAATGCGTCAACCGACGAAAAAAATAAACAAAAACGAATGGAGGGCGAAAATCAATAAGAATAAGCGTACACAGACGATTAAAGCATCGTCTGCGTGTATGTGTGTCAGGGACGGCGGGTCAGCGGGTCAGTTCAGCACGAGTCAGCTTGGGCACACTCCTCGCCTAATCAGCTGACCGCAATTGATCAATTACGAGCAAAACAAACAAAAATGGATACGCGAACACGAGGGAAGATTCACCCGTTTATACTCCGCGTATACCTGCCGTACACATTCCCGCCTTTTTATGCCCCCGAGCGATACTGCGATACTCCGCGAGCGGGAGACTTTAACGCGTCGGGACCGCAACTCTCTTGACGCACGAGCGCGTTGGGTTGACTAAACTCCAGGCGGTGGGCGAGCCCAACGCACGAGCAGTGTGGCCCGGAGCTGACAAGACCAAACGGCGAATACTGTGCGAAGTTGGCCCAACCAACTTTCAAAGCAGCGCGGATCAAGGTAAGGCTGGCAGCAAGAGATCGATGGACCGTGTGTCGCCTACATACGGGGGAATTGGGAGAGCAAATTGCCTTTAAGGTGGCTTATCCGGGCAATTTTTCGGCACTTTTATATATTCCTCGATATTTTCAATATCGAATGTCCTTTTTTAACGACCCACTCTCGTGCATACATCTTACAGTGGGACATACAAATAGGGCAGCACAAACAGATATAGAAACACAGATAACAATGAGTGTCTGCTTCACCCAACCAAATGGTCAAGGTCACGCACTGACCACGAAAACTGTTAGGTTCTTGGGGTTTCTAGTTTGGTTTGGGTGGGACACTTAATTTCACAATCTCTATTAAGTCCGAGATAAATATTATCTTTAACATCTCGCGGGTGCCAATCACATTTGACAAACCTCTATAGTTTTCGACTGATGCCAAACAGTCAGTGGTTTGATAAAACATAATCATACATTAAATCCATTCAGTTACACAGCGACTGACAAAGAGATGAGAACAACTCATGCACTGATAAACCAAGTATGCGACTGCGTAGCAGCACACTTGCAAGTGTTCAACTCGGTTATTGTGCACTTGTAAGTGCGTGCGACCACTCTGTTGAACACTTCGAACACTACGCAGATCAACACTTGCAAGTGTGTTGCTACGCAGTCCAACACTTGCAAGTGTGTTGCTACTCAGTCCAACACTTGCAGGTGTGTTGCTACTCAGTCCAACACTTGCAGGTGTGTTGCTACTCAGTCCAACACTTGCAGGTGTGTTGCTACTCAGTCCAACACTTGCAAGTGTGTTGCTACTCAGTCCAACACTTGCAAGTATACTGCACCCAGTCCAACACTTGCAAGTATACTGCTACCCAGTCCAATACTTGCAAGTGTTAAGCAGTCAAACACTTAGTTTGTGCATTTCTCTTTGCGGTGCTCGGATCGGATGCCGCGGATGCCCCCACTGATTGTGTGCGGCACGGCGGCCGCCGCGACGTGAAGCGCATGCCAATAGCAGTCCAGCAATGGCCTTGCGACAACAAGTGTGTGCCACTTAATTATGGAAAAGCGTCTCAAGCGTTAGTGACCAACAGACTGAGGAAGTTCTGAACCACGGCGATCGAATATCGTTGTTACATACAAAAGCTGTGTAGTTTTGGAGTGAGCACAGCGTTTATTGGGGGAAACAAATTAATGAAAAAGGAAAGAGACTGAGAAATTTAGCTGGAGGATATCGCTGAGAAGAACAGTTTTAATCTCGATTACGGACTTTAAAAAATTCCCGTAAACATTCAAGACTCGTAAAATTGTAAATAAATGAGGTACCTGTAATTTGCATTTTTTTTCCAGGGTGCCCCTACTCAGGTTGTTATGATGGATCGACCTCCCCCTCCACTTTCCCGCATCTCCTTTCGCGCTTTCGCGCGTCTCCGACACACTGTCCGGCATACTGATCGAAGCCACACAGACAACACACAGAGCACAGAGGTCACCCATGAGGTCACCAAACAGAAGTATCGCTCATGGACAACAAAAACAATAAATTTCATGCAAATAATTTAAGACGTGCAGTGAGTAGACCTTATCAGGTTGCTTAAATTACCATCGGATTTTGTAGCTAAGCAGTAAGCGAGTAAGCAAACTTCGCACACGCGTGTGCGCGATACAGTATTACTACAACAATCGACGAGGTTGAGAATGACTTCAAAGAGGAGAAATTGAAGTACCACACAACTTTACAATATAGTTGCAGTTAGAACATGCAGATAATAGCATATAAAAAGAGTTGTTGTAATTGAGTTATCGGTGAACGCCGCCATGAGCACAAACATTTAGAATAAATCGCCTGCTGCCACTGATGGCCATGCACAAAGATTCCAATGCTTACAGTGTTTTGGCCGTCCTGGACGTCCGGCCACGTCCAAGGGTGCGCTCCCGCCTTTGGCGCCATGAGTCGTCCTGCCAACGGCCTGCCTGCCAAAGATACGCACGCAATCCTTAGAGAGTGTGAGAGTGTGCGCTAGAGTGAGTGCGTGTGTGTGTGTATGTATGTGTGAGAGAGACAGACACTCCACACCATCTACTTCGAGTTAGGGAGAACGAGTATTGTCGATGGTGTTGGGTATTTCAGAGACCTCTTTTAATGTCAGAATCCACAGTAGATAGAGGTGGTTGTAATGTCCTGGACAGGTGAACACTAACATAAAGTAAATACTAGAACTTTTTTTTTTTAGTCGTCTAGGTGAGAGCATTTAACCAAATTCGGTATGTGATCATTCTTAGTTCGTAGTGCTAGAGCACTGTGTGATATTGAAACATTTGAAAATATTCTTACCGCGAGAATAGATTGCAATCAGGAATTCGGCAAATCGCGAGCGCTTGGCGCCTGCGGAACTCGGGGTAGGCTACACCGCCGTACACGCATGCACTGAAGGAGAGATATTGCCTACTGATCAGGCGCTATGAGACCTTGCATTGGCTGTCCTTGGGAATTTCGTACCGACAGATGACAGACGCACTTTTTGGAAGATCCAACCACACCAAAGGCGATGATTGAAGTTAGGAGGCGAGTTTATGCTTTTGCACGAAGTTAGTTTTCTGTTCTACCTCTCCCTTGTTCTTAAAATGCTTCATTTGTTTGAATTGTTTCTGGGTTGCTTTGAATTATTTCTCAATTGTTTTGAACTGAACAATTGGTTTGAGCATGCTAGCATTGGGCAGAATAAGGGTTTGTATACCCTTCACACGACAGTAATTCTCCCCGCGAAATATCAACATACACGATCATTTTTACAGAGCCGACCTATTGTCCTGCTGTCCATGTCCATGTCCAGGCCGCGGCAGGAGATGCGAGGGGGCCTCAGACCTCGGGCCGCCGGAAGCGACTCGGAGTTTACAGTGACTCCACCTTCCTTCCTCGCAAAGTCCACAGCGCGGTCAGACTTTGTCCTCGCATATTGACCCTCCCCCCCCCCCCCCCCCCCCTTCCTCTTTTACGACTAGCTTTGTGTTGGTAAATATGGCACAGGCAAAAGCTTATTACGAACAAGCGACCGCTTTAAAAGGTGTCAACAACGCCAGACGGTAATAGGGAAACGTACGTCTACAAAAATAAAAGTGCGTGGTATTCACGTCACAAATGTGGCACAGAATGGCGCACACTTTTCTATGTTGGGCCGACGCGGAACGTATTTCATTAAAACATTTCAGTGTCCGAATGACATAGTTGTTTCACTTTTACTGTTTACGTACTCTTTTCGGGTTCACACTTCCGTTTAGTACTCTGCACTGAAAAATGATTACGAAAAAGAAAAACAACCTTTAGCATCCAGGAGAGTTTTGCAAGGGCATGAAAATCCTGACCAAAAGTTGGTTTGCATTGCGAGAATTAGTTGGTAACACAAAGCTGGAAATTTTTTTGTATCATAACTTGCACTTTGTACGGTAAAAACAATGTCCAAATTTAAGAGAAAAGGGAAAACTTTGAGGAGCCCCCTTGTCCTGAAGAAAACTCCTCAGATTTCGAGGAAGTCTTCTCGAAAACAGGTGGGATTTTCCTCGTTTGTTCTTCGTAAGAATTTGGCAGTGTGCAAAACTACATGGCGTGGTCACGGATCGTTCTCAAAACGTGCATCAATACATATAATGGGTGTAAAATTGATTGTCAAAAAAAGAGAGGAAAACCAGAGAAAAATATAACGATTCCCCGGTAGTTTGTGCAGCAGTGCGCGGGACGGGGGGTACGTTCGCGTGCGCAGCACAACGCAACCCTTATCTCAACAGCTCCTGCCGAATATTAACAGAGATAGCTGCCTGCGAGGGGCGCCAGCCGCCCCAGCGCGCGTGGCGTGTGCACGGCGTGCGACAATACACGCGGAGCAACATGGATCGGAGACGGCACCGACATGGGAATAAACCCGTGCGAAACACGCTCTGGCCGATCATGCAAGTCAATGCTGCAGGCCCCTCGCTTCAGACCCACCTCCCCCCCCCCCATTTCCTTTGCCCTGTCTTTGTGAACGAGATCAGAATCAGCTTCCGAGACGGAAATGACTGGGGCACACAAAGAACATTCCGCCTAATTTTGGCAGGATTTTCAAAGACCACTTTAGGGAAAAGACGGTGAAATGTGTGACTCCTTACGCACAGGCGCCCCATCTATATCCACGTGACTAAGAGGCTTCATACTTGCGGCGCTATGCGGTGACACAGATCAGCCCTGATTTTAAATACAAAAAAATAAGATATCGATGCCTTATCTGCTTATTGGAGCCCCCCAATGAGGTAAGGTCAGGAGGCTTATCGAGGCGTGCACCTGACCTTGGTCCGATAGGGGATGCCACAGGTCAACCAATACAAATAGTTGAACTTTTTGAACAGAGAGCGTGGGCTGCATTGCCTCCTAATTGGTGGCTATAAGGCTACAGGGAATTGAACGCAAACCTCGAC